CCCGCCGGTCCACCTCTCCATACCAGTCGCCTGACGCTACTGGAAAGAAGACGGGCAGTCCCAACTTCCGTCCGCGATCAATGTCTGTTGGCGACTTCGAATTTGACACTACAGAGCTGAATGAGCGAATCAAACACACGCGGGATTTCAAGAAGAAGGGATTCAAAGGCAACACCCGTGGCAATCACATCCAAGCTCCCTTTGCAACGTTGGAGGAGCTGTTCAAGAAGCTGCCAAAGTCGGTTGGATTTAATATTGAACTCAGTGAGTTTTCGCAACCCCCCTGAAGAACAGTTACGAGACGATCTGACCAAGATCGCCAGAATATCCCATGCTCTTTGAGAGCGAGGAGGAGGAGATGGATACTTACGCCGTCGAGCTGAATTCCTTCGTGGATACGGTTCTCAAGATGGCCTACGACCACGGCCAGGGGCGCAACATGATATTTTCCAGCTTCAACCCCGATGTCTGTCTTTTGATCGCTTTCAAGCAGCCTTCCATCCCTGTGCTCTTCTTGACCGACTCTGGTGCGTCTCCGGTCAGCGACATCCGAGCCAGCAGTCTGCAAGAAGCTATTCGGTTTGCTTCTCGCTGGAGCTTGCTGGGCGTCGTTTCCCAGGCTGAGCCACTGGTTCTGTGTCCGCGTCTAGTCCGCGTCGTGAAGGAGTCTGGTCTTGTCTGCGTATCTTACGGAACGTTGAACAATGAGCCAGCAAACGTCAAGGTAAGGCCTTGATGCTACACACGCGTGGCTTTAATCTGTACTAACTCCGAATAGCTTCAAGTCGCCGAGGGAATCGATGCCGTGATCGTCGACTCTGTTCTCGCCATCCGTAAGGGCCTTACGGAGCATCAAGCCAAAGGCGACACTCCGGCCCCATCTGCGCAGCCAAGCCCGCTGGCTGAACCCAATCGTGAGGCACTGAAGGAGTCTATCCAGATACCTGTCCTTGAACAAACCGAACAGAAGGATGACCACCTCCATGTGAAACAGCAGGCTGTACTCAATCCCCAGTGAGCCTTTACTGTTTATTCAAACATTGCAATCATCAGGTGCGACTTTTGCCTCAGCGTCAGGTCAAAGTAATCAGGGCTACACTTTCATCATTTGCGATAATCTTGTCTGCATCTGTACATATCCGAGTGGTCGATTTCGCATTTCCATGTCTGCTTCTACAAAGCATTATCCACCTACTGTCACTTGAAGAGTCGCTAGATGATGGAAAGTGTGTATCTTGCATTTCGTGTTTCTGATGATGTCAATCTCTAGACCATGTGGTAGAACCTGTTGCAAAATCGGGAGTGTGAGAGAGAACTTAATGATAATAGTAATCCTGAATATTTCAGAAAAGTGAAGGTCCACTACAAATTTACACTGTATAATGGAAGATCTTCGTGTCCTGGCTCAAAAAATCAACCTACCTACACCATCCTGTGACAGCATGAAGGCGGTGGAGTACCATTGAACTGCTTCATCCCACGTGACTGGCTTTTCTATTCATCTAATTCTCATCACCAGTAGGTCATCAGAAAACACTGCAATAATCTGCACCCTGCATTTCCCGCTGCGACATACTAACTAGACAAGACCTATTCTCTTTCCAGCAGTGCACATTCTGTCTTTGGGACGTTGAAGATAAGCTTCAATTGGTTGGAGCTGAGCTCTACCACCGGCAACCAGCCACTACCTACCTTGTCTGGCCCCTCACCATGCTGTGATCGATCCAGTTATTATTTGAACGCATTGCCTTCATCGCATCTACGTCGATATTCTCCCCGACTCTCCTCTCATCTCAAAGCAGAAAAATGAACGCCGTAGATGCGACGGAGCACTACGAGGCAAGTGCCAGCGGTAAGATCGCCGCAAGAGATAGAAATATCTACCTTACTGAACGACTGACTCGAATATAAAGATCCCGCCCCCTCCCTGCTGACAATCGTCCTCGACACAAACCCCCACGCTTGGGCCCTCCTGGAAGACTCCCTCCCGCTCTCCACCGCAATAGCCAACATCCTCGTCTTCGTCAACGCCCATCTCGCCTGCAACTACGCCAACGAAGTCGCGGTCGTCGCATCGCACAGCCAAAAGGCGACATGGCTGTACCCGTGCGAGATCAAAGAGGACAATGGAAAGAGCAAGACCAAGACAGGGAGGGATGAAGACGGCGATGTCGCCATGAACGGATCCGGCGCTGGGTCTGCTGCGGACCAGGTGAACAAGTATCGCCCTTTCCGGATCGTCGAGGAGCAAGTCACTCGCAACCTGCGGGAGCTCATGGACTCGACCAGCGGCGGGGACGTCGCGGCCACCACCTCGACGATGATGGCGGGGGCGCTGACGCTAGCGCTGAGCCATATCAACCGGCGGTCGATTGCGTGGGCGGACGCGCATGGGGGAACTGCTGCTGGGCCGACGGGGGCGGTTGAAGCGGGCAGCTCCGGGGCTGGTAGGGCTGGGACGGATACTGGGGCTGAGGCTCTGCAGTCGCGCATTCTGATCATCTCCGTGAGTGGTTCGACGGATTCGGCACATCAGTACATCCCGATCATGAACTGTATCTTTGCCTGTCAGCGGCTCCATATCCCCATCGATGTCTGCAAGCTGAGCGGGGATGCGGTGTTCCTGCAGCAGGCGTCCGATGCCACCAAGGGAGTTTACATGTCGCTGTCCGAACCTCGCGGCCTACTACAGTACTTGATGATGGCGTTCCTACCTGACCAGCGATCTCGGAGACACTTGGTTATACCAACGCGCGTCGACGTCGACTTCCGTGCCGCTTGCTTCTGCCATCGCCGTGTCGTCGATGTTGGCTTTGTCTGTTCAATCTGCCTGAGTATCTTCTGCGAACCTCCTGAAAACGGCGACTGCCTAACTTGTGGTACCCATCTCGAGATGGGTGACTACGGTGCTAAGCCGGCGGTTGTCGCTCGGAAGAAGAAGAAGAAGAAGGTTCGCACCAACGGTGCATCAGGGACAGCAACTCCAACACCTACACCTACACCGGGCCCTTGAAAACCTCCACCGTTCGAAGTGCAACCATTTACTACCAGGGAAGGTCAGTTTCTAGACTGCATATGTTGGACTATTTGCTTGAAGCTCTTGCTTTGCATTATGCTGCCTATTTCAAAGGCCTGTCGGCCCTGAAATCCGGTGCAGAGAGGGGATTCCAGACTTGGGCACATGCCAGGAATTGCGAGGATCGCCAAAGGAGACTCCAATTCACCAACGCTTGCCATACTACAACCTGAAAGAACCAGCGCAACAAAACCGCAGAGGGAGCATTCTAACGGCAGTTAGGGTGCCACCCATATGCGTGGTATGCAAACAGCGAGTCTCCGAAACGGCTATGCGAGAAATGCAAAGGTCCAAAGGCAACCGTGAGACAATCCTAGACGGTCAATTCACTCGAATCTGGTATGGCGACAAGACTTGGCGTGTAATTTCACATATTCGGTCCGGCGAACTGGAGGGGCAATTGCAGTCAGCATTCGAGTGCATCATCAACGGGACTCATTTTGTAAAGATAGTCTTACGCCAGTGATGCTCTGATCCATTCTCCTGGCTACGAAGCGCAAGTCAGTGGTGCATTCGAATCAGCGCGAACCTGGCTGTCGGTCATGAGAGCCGTCAATCATATACCTTATCTTCTGCCCCGATAGGCGCGGCCACCTTGAGCAATAGTCGAATTTCCCTGGTTGCGAGACATCACAGACAGCGGTTTCCTGTCCTCACTACTCATGGAAGCGAGAGCCTGGAAGATAATGCGAGTTCAGTGTACAGGCTCTCCAGAAGAGCAAACTTGTACAGAGTACTCACAAAAGAATCAGAATTATGACCAAAGTAGAAAAAAATCCCGTCCTTCGTCTTCTTGACAGTCAAGATTCCGATAGCGCCTCCACAAGGGCTTGCCTTCACGCCGGGATGCTCTGCGCAAATTGTAAACGATTTTTTCTCTACCAATGGTCGTAAGGGATAGGGAGTACAATAACTCACCCATGAACTCAGTGGCTATCGTCGCATTCATAGCTTCGTCTTCGGATACGTTTTCGAAAGTGCCATCCTTACGCTTCTTTTGACAGTAATAGAGTCTTGCAGCTGATGTCTGCGCAGCCATAGTTGTAGCAATGTGCTCGCCTGTGCCCGATGTAATCGAAGCGACTGATACTTGTTCGGGATCGCTGGGGTCCACAGGAATCACATAGGTGCCGATGCCCACCAGCGCGGCAGGCCCAATTCGACCGCGATGCTTCGCGCCAATCCCGCCAGAGGAAGAACCTGCCGCAATATTGCCATAACAGTCTACAGCTATAGCCCCGACTGTATCGCTGATCATATCTTCATCCTCATCTGCAGCGCCTGGGTGAGCATTCATGGAAGTAGTGTCAGGTGCACAAGGTGCTGTTGTAGGGGTCGCACGGAAAGCAGCACCATCTGCATGGGTGTTGGCTGAGGCAGCCATACCTTGCTCAGGTGCAGGAGCCATACTTTGTCCACCTGCCACGACCATAGGTTGTTCACTTGCAGGACCCATGCCGTGTCCATGGTCTGAAGGCATAGCTGGTGGTGCAGGAGCTATACTTTGTCCACCTACAGGAGCCTGGAGACGTGGAAGAGGGTTCAGCAAGTCGACACCGGTAAAGGGAGAGCTGGGTAGATGTGGGCGTAAACGAGTATTGTCAATGAGGCGGGCTGGATTACGATTCAGCATTGGCCGACGAAGGAAGGATGCTCTATCTTCTTCCATGCGAAAACGTGAAGGATCCCGTTTCCTTTCGACCAGTTCGGCAGCCTCGAGATCCTGCAGCCAGCGGTGCCATCTCTCTTTCGAAAACCGCGATATGAGACCGTCAGGAGGCAGTATGACCAGTCCTTGCTCATAAGCAAAGTCCGTTGCACCCTCACCAACGAGGAAGCTTGGAGGCACTCTGTGGCAAGTTAAAGGCTTTGCAGAAGTTTCAAGTAGCATTCGCGCTAGAGAGATCGGGTTCTTCACCTCTGAAGTGAACCAAAGACATTAGCATTAAGGCCATGATCGGGATGGGCGGACAGTCCAATAAACAACACAAGAGCAGGCGATCTTGAAGCTGAGAAAAAAGAAGAGAAACCTACGCGAGACGGCTCCTGCTGCGCCGCTCCTGCCATGGTGGTCGACAATAGTAGCATCACATTCGACAGCTCCTTCAATCGTCAGGTTGCTTCCATAGCCAGCATTTGTCATCTCGTCATCTTCCATTACAATGATGGCCATTTCAACAGCATCCAGAGCTGATCCACCGCTTTTCAAAATGCCCATTGCGGCTTTGCATGCGCTATTGGCAGTCAGACCAAAGGATGATACGTGAACGACGTAGATCATGGACCCGCAGGCGGATGGAAGACTTACTTTTCGCATACTTGAAGGTGGGCTCTCTCATTTCCATGGCCGTGATATCCCGCCCCTACATGGACGAAGATGGCAGAGATACCTCCACCTCTCTGTGATTCGCTCATATTGAAAATATGAGACTTCAACTGAGGATAGAAGTGGGGAGTATCCTGAATCTGCGGCCAGCTACAACCAGCTGTTGTGACAGTGGATTGAGGTTGAGGCCAGAAGGCAGCGGTGCAGACGCGAGTTGAGACCCAAACAAAAACAGACAGGAGGCGGTAGCGAGATTGATATTCACTGCAGTCGAGTCGCTAGCTTCACAACGCAGAGCACTGAGCAAGAGCAAGCTAACCAGCAGAGTAGTAGAGCAGGACGTCCACCACTTCGGTCCTCTTCCGTTTTCCTTTTCGTTATGAGAATGAGGGAGAGAATACCCTAATAGAGAGAGAGTAATAATACAAAAAGAGCTTTCTTCTGCTCAGAGGAATGAGTGGGAGGAAGGTATATCAGAGAGGAGGGAAACTGATGGGATAAGGCTATGACAAACGAGCGGACACTGGTATGAGAAAACATGAGGAGCAGACTCCAAAGCCAGAAGTTGAAAGAATAAATATGGAGAGTGGATAGAAATGACTAGGAGATTCATGAGGGAACAAACAGCAGAGCAGGGTGGACGACATACAAAGTCCATCGATTAAAGCTGGAGAAGAAGCTGAAGCGCCTTCCCTTTTAGGAAGAAGCATGTCTTCTGTGAGAGCAGCAGGAACCTCAGGTGTCTTCTGTCACCGCCTTGATGCCTGATTACACTGATATACAATGCTCTGTACTATCATGGTTGCTTTTATCCGTAGTTAATAAGCCCTGAGTATCTCTACTTCTTCAATGCAATAGTCGATATCCTGTAACTATGAGGTTTGTGGAGAGCACATGACATGGCTTGGCAACTACGTATTGGATCTCCATAGTTTAGTCTGCTCCATACACGAGGTACCTAAGTAGTACTGTTACTGCCCGCCTTCACCTCCCCCTCATCCTCCTCTTCCTCCACCACTATTATCCCTCGGTGCTTCCTACAGTATCACCTTTACCAAACCAATTGATCACTCGAACTCTTCTCCAATTTCTGATATATCAGGCTTCGGCCCGATTTCAACGGTCCCACTTCGTCCTATCGTGGCCTGTCAATAGGGGACATTCCAAACCGTCATGGCGTCCCAGACTCCGGCCGTTGTCATGGACAAGTATGTTGTTGTATCTGCTATAATCTTATTGTATTTCGGCTAATGATGGTGTTCTCTTGTGCTCAGCGGTACCGGTTACTCCAAACTTGGTGAGTTTCAATCCACTCGCGGCTACCTGGCATCCACCAAGCATTAGGCTGACACAATCTCAGGTTTCGCCGGTAACGATTCACCCTCTTTCGTCTTCCCTACTGCGATTGCCAGCAAGGTAGGAGCCGGAGGCGCGGGAAGCTCTGGGAGTGGCCGACCACCTGTTGCGAATAAGCCATCGTTTCTGGGGGCAGGCTCTGGGTCAAGCTCGAACTTGTCGGCAAAGCGTGGAACTGAAGATTTGGATTTCTTCATCGGTGATGAAGCTCTGGCGGCTGCCAATGGACCTGGCTACGGCATCAACTACCCCATTCGCCACGGACAGATCGAAAACTGGGATGCTATGGAACGTTTCTGGTCCAATTCGATCTTTAAGTACCTGCGCGTCGAGCCCGAAGACCACTACTTCCTGCTTACTGAACCGGTACGCTCATGAGACTTGATGGAGTACCTGTTATTCTGACCTTATGGAATCATACTGATATATGCTTCATTGCAGCCCCTGAATCCTCCCGAGAACCGCGAGAACACCGCAGAGATCATGTTCGAGTCGTTCAACTGTGCTGGACTTTACATTGCCGTTCAAGCGGTGCTTGCCCTCGCTGCCTCATGGACGTCCTCTAAAGTGACCGATCGATCCCTTACTGGAACGGTCATCGACTCTGGTGATGGTGTGACCCATGTCATTCCTGTCGCGGAAGGCTACGTCATCGGGTCATCCATCAAGAGTATCCCTATCGCTGGTCGAGACATTACCTACTTCGTACAGAGCTTGCTGCGCGACCGAGGCGAGCCGGATAGCAGCTTGAAGACGGCAGAGCGGGTCAAGGAGGAGTACTGTTATGTGTGCCCTGATATCGTCAAGGAGTTTGCCCGCTATGACCGCGAGCCCGATCGGTTCCTGAAACATACCGTGACCTCCCCTAACGGCCGGAGCGTGACCATTGATGTCGGCTACGAGCGCTTCCTTGCGCCAGAGATCTTCTTCAACCCTGAAATCTACTCTTCCGACTTCCTGACTCCCTTGCCGCAAGTCGTTGACGGCGTTATTCAATCCTCGCCCATCGATGTCCGGAGAGGTCTCTACAAGAATATCGTTCTGTCCGGTGGATCGACCTTGTACAAGGACTTTGGCCGTCGTTTACAGCGCGATATTCGACACCTGGTAGATGCTCGTATTCGCGCCTCGGAAGCTCGCAGCGGTGGTGCTAAGAGCGGTGGTCTGGACGTGGCTGTTGTGACACACAAGAGACAGAGACACGGTCCTTGGTTTGGTGGTAGTCTGCTAGGTCAGACCCCTGAATTCCGGAGCT